TTCAGCGTTGGCCGGAAGTCGGTCATCCACTTCCGCTTCAACTATCCGCACCATATGCAAATACAGAGTGTCGAACTCTATAGCAGTGAAGATTTGGTCAAGTTTGTTACTTCCGTGTTGTGTCGGAAACTCTCCTTAAAAAATACACACACACACACAAACAAACACATACACACACAAAAAATTTACAAATAAACAAACAAACAAACATGCAAACAAACAAACAAACAAAAGCACAAACAAGCAAACACACATGCAAACAAACACAAACTTTCAAACAAACAAACACACATGCAAACAACACACATACGTATAAACAAACAAACGAACGAACAAACATACACACAGACAAACATACAAACATACAGGTTGCAGAGATCCAACTCGTGCTGGGAGAAGGGCTCCATATTGAAATCACACCAGGTCGATGACCAAATCATTGAGATGAGTTCACGGTCATTCATTATTATTATTTATTATTATTATTATTGTTTGTTGTTATTTTTCGTTTTTATTACCAGCATTCTTGTTTGTTTAAAGTTGCCATTGTAAAGATTTAAAATGGAAAAAAATTTGTCACGGTAAATATTTTTAACGAACGAATGACAGAATGAGCGGAAACAGGCGAAATGAGTGAGTGAGGGAATGAAATAATGAATAAAAGAATGAAATAATAATTGAGAATAATTTTTCATAATTAATTTCCAGGGCGGAGTGGAATGGGTGTACGCTGTTGAAATCAAATAACTCGCAACTTCCTTTGCCCCCATTCATCTTCCCGACCAACCATTGGCCGGGTAATTATCATAATTTATGATAATAATAGCAATCATAATAATGATTGACCGGTTGAATATGTGATTGAATGATTGGTTGATTGATTAATTAGTTAATAATCATAATTTATGATAACAAACAGCAATCATAATAATGTTTGACCGTTTGAATGAATGATTGGTCGATTGATTAATTGATTAATTAATTGATTAATTAATTAACTAATTGATTAATTGGCCAATCAAACAAAGGTACGAGATGGTTTGGACCGAATTTGACATGCTCTGGAACGCGGGAAATTTCAGGGCCGAAATGGTTTTTTCTAACCGTTAGCAACTGCAGAAGTAACATGGGTCTGCTATTGGAATACAGTATACAAATTTTTGGGTCCGAAAATGTAAAGGGCCGAGTTGATTCTTGTTCTTCCGCTTCCGGTTATATAACAACAATAATGACGACAGTTATGTTGATGTTGTTTGATGTAGTTGTTTTTAATGTAAGGTCGTAATGTGATTCGTTAATTGATTGTGGATGTTAATGTGAGGTCGTAATGTGATTGGCTGATTGTTGATGTTAATGTGAGGTCGTAATGTGATTGGTTGATTGTTGATGTGAGGCCGTAATGTGATTGGCTGATTGATTGTATGATAATGTGATTGGCTGATTGATTGTTGATGTTTTTAATGTTAAAATAACTAAGTGTAGACTAGAATGTATAGAATTTTATCAAATCCAATAAAAAGCTTTTCAAATTTTTTCTCTAAATTTTAATTTATTTGCTTAACTTTGAAATGAATTTTACATAAAAATACTAACATAATTATCATAATTTATTCATAACGTAATAATGT